TTACAAATGCAACCCTGCCTATCGTTTGACACTTTTTATGAACTTGCAGGAAGAAAAACTTCGGACTAAAATCTAAGTTATGCAAGACTTAGACTTGACTTGATTTAAAAATTGTATATCTGGAAAATGAGCAGCGCGTGTATGTAGTTACCCAAAAAAACAACTTCACTTAAAAACTTAGAGAACTATAGATTTTTAATTTGTAAGTTCAATTTCTAAGTGCAAAGAGAGCCGTGAGAGAATCATGCTACCATTTCTTTTTTTAATAAAATTCCTACAAATATGCCCGGCAAATATATTTTTTTGTATAAATGTAATTCATCTGGCAATGGAAAAATAATCTGTCAACTAAAGACAGAAAATGAAGTAAAAACAATCACGATTTGATACGCGTAAATAAATTTATTTTACAGATTAAACGTGATATTCGAAAGAAAGAGAAAATGTAATAGGTGACACGCGGAGTAATCGGTTCTAAAGCTGAAATTAGTCAAGAACGTAAACCCACCGGTACGTAAACCCGAGTCAGCTGACACGATCTGTCTTACCGAAGCGCCATNGATTAAACGTGATATTCGAAAGAAAGAGAAAATGTAATAGGTGACACGCTGAATAATCGGTTCTAAAGCTGAAATTAGTCAAGAACGTAAACCCACCGGTACGTAAACCCGAGTCAGCTGACACGATCTGTCTTACCGAAGCGCCATGTAAATGAGTAGTTATAGCCCTTAGCGCAGAAACCTGCGGAATATAGATTTTTTCGCGTCAGCTGATTTCTTCCCTCTATAGATGGTCGCCACTTCGTCAGTTTTGCTGATGGTAAAAAGGTTATAAGTTCCTATGCAAAATACATTTAAAATATTTGAAATTTACTATTGAGGAAGAGTTTTTGTTGAAAACTAAGAAGTTTATATTTAGCTACGATTTATTATAAAGGCCTGTATGGAGCTCTCAAGAAAAGCAAAAACTCCATATAAAATGACGTACAAGAAATGGCTAAGAAATTTTCTTGAGTTTGGTTGCCAGGTTTGCAACAGAAATATATGCCCGTTCCATTATTTCTTGAGAAAGAGTGAGGCAACAGGCTGTGAGGTATCAAAAATGTCAAAATTCCTTGGACACACACGCGAAATAATGGCAATTTTTTCTTGACCGTTTTCTTGAGAAACTCAACTCTATAGGGTTGCGCCGCCTACAATGTGCTCCGTAAAGATCGGCCGCGAGATAATGGTGGCGGACTAGCGTACCCTAGAATGTCAGGGCATAGCTGTCCGGTCAGGCGATGTCGAGCTCGAAATATTCAACGTTTATATACCCCCTGTCACCTGCTGCCCGGCAGGATACCACCCTGACATAGGTGCGCTACTCAGAGGTGAAAACCGAATGGTAGTAGGTGACTTCAACGCGCACCACGATCTATGGCACTCAAGCCTGGCCAATGATCGTAGGGGAAACCTTTTGGCTGAGCAGATAGACGATTCGACATTCTGCACCATGAACGACGACGCCCCCACCAGGATTATGGGTAGCTTTAGCAACTCCCCAGACCTGACAATTGCTAGCGCTGGTTTGATCAATAGCATCTCATGGCGACCTATGCAAACACTAGCATCAGACCATCTACCCATAATCATCTTGATCAATAAGCTCACCGACTTGGCTCCCGCGGACCACCGAACCTACACCAACTTCAACAAAGCTGATTGGGACGGCTTCCCGGAAGTCACCGAGAGCAGCTT